TATATATATAACATTTATCACTATAATTTTATAAAGGTACGAAAAGAATAACAACATCGTGCGTCGCATCGTCAACTCGGCAAATCGAGATCATCGAAATCATATAGCATAGCCATAGCTCGAAAGAGAAGAAGGCAGATGGTATATCTGTCAGTCTATGCTTCCTACCACTCGAAGGTGCCTGTCAGCGTCGTTTATACGAATCATGCTTTCAGGGCTCGGCACGCGCTATTCAGCCGCTTTTCGCGCGCCGCTGTTCCCCTTACCCCACCGCTCCGCGCACGACCAAGTGCCGGATGGTGCCGAATTCCGGCACTTGGACTTCCGCGCGGAGCGGTGAGGTAAGGGGAACAGCGGCACTGAGCGCTCGAAAATCAGTTGAAGTCTAGTGCCCGGCGTTGCGAGCCCAAGCCCTGATTTAGTGTGTGAACGTGTGTGTGAGTGTATGTGTCCAGCATATAGAATGGACTGAGCATCATATACGCAAGACGCTCGCCCACAGTAGAGAGATATAATTATATAAGATATAAGTAAGTTACATCTTACACTACTGCGGGCGCGCATTTTGCCTATACGATACTCAGTACATTCTATATTTGCATAGCCTCGTCGCTTGCCGGTCGCCGATCTCGTTCCTCATTCGTCGGATACACGTGCTTGGCGTGCTTCAAGCCATGCCAAGGCCAAGGAAAAGTAAGTGTACAATATTATTGAATATTAAACTGATACCTAAAGGATTTATTACCAATGTATAAATACCGTAATAAAAGTTTCACGGTATACGCATTGGTGTTATATATATACTCAATGTTCTTTTCATCTGTTTCAGCAAAAAGTGAGGGTAATACACCAACGACGACGGCATTGTCGTCGCCGTCTTCTTCGTGCCACGTAAGGACGGCGGCGACGGCGGCGGCGATGTCATCGCCGTCGCCGTTACCATCGCTACCTTCGCACCAACCGCCTCAAAAGAAAGTGATTACGGCGGCATCGTCATCGCCGACGCCGCCGCCGCCATTGCCATTACCACCGCTTTCTTCGCATCAACCGCCTTATGAAAAAACGACAGCAATGTCGTCGTTACCACCACCGTTACCTTCGTCGCATTACGCAAGGAACACGACGGTAAGGTCGCCGTCGCCGCCACCACCGTTACCTTCGTCGCATTACGCAAGGAACACGACGGTAAGGTCGCCGTCGCCGCCACCACCGTTACCTTCGTCGCATTACGCAAGGACAACATTGACGTTAACGTCGCCGTCTCCGCCATCGTCGCATTACGCAAGGAAGACGAAAATGGTAACGTTGTCGCCGTCGCGTTACGCCAGAAGGTCAGAGGAGGAGTTTCCATCATCCTATGAAAGAACGACAAGGTCATCGTCGTCGTCGCATCACGCAAGGAAAACGGCAGCAATGCCGCAACCGGAAGGGCAATTTATACAAAAAGTAAGTTCAATAATAGTTACAAATTTGTTGAGAAAATAATAAATATTCAGAATTGAAAAATTTTAACAATTACGTTTTTACATTTATTTTACATTACATTTATATTTTTTTCAATTATAAAATTTTTAACATTTATGTTTTAACATTTATTTTACGTAACATTAATATTTGTTTCTCTTAATTCAATTTATGTTTTATATAGATGCTTGAAAGATATACATATATATAACGTTTATTTTTA